GAACCTTGAATGGATCAATTGTATTCAAATCCTAGGTTGTCATTAATATTTCGTGTTATAAGGTTGAAAAGGTTCTGGGTGTTGACCTGTGTTTAACCGTCTTTTTTGAGATCCTCGGTTGGCACTACGCGGTAAATAACCATTGTAGGTATCTGTGATAAGGTCTGCAAACCAACAAAAGAGGGGGTACCCAATAATCCGAGTTCAATTCTTGATGTTGGGAGAATAAAATATTTCTGGAGGATTTTTAATTTACTAATAACATTGTAATCCATTTTATTTCTAAACCTGACATCGTAGCTTGTTGTTTATCTTAATTATGATTGTGTATTGGATTGTGAAAAATGGACGAGATATGTGTCAGTTTACTAGGCATTCCAAACTCATGACATTTCATGTTAGATATGAAAAAGTACTATATATCCAAAAGACAGTATATTTGAGACCTCTGAAGACGTATGACTTCCTTAAAAGAATTAAAAGACTTGTTTTGGGTACAAGCCTATTTTGTAATTTCATTTGGATTGTAATATTGTTGAAACTCCTTGTTTTGTGACTAAGGCTTGACAATGTAATTATCAAATATTTTTGCTTATATATATATATATATATTATATCTTGTGTAAACTTATCTACTGCCTATATCCCATGTCAACTTATGTTTTTCTTGTGTTAATCCTTGAAAAAATCTATCAAAATGGTAATTCTACTATCTAAGGAGATTGAACTTTGAAATAATGCTATTTTGACTCCTTCGATATTTTTTGAAATTCTTACTTGATTATTAACCAAAAAACTCATAAATGACATTTCATTAACCTTTTACCTAGAGTAAAATTCGGAGCGTTGCAAATCAAGATTTGATTATATGAATAGCAAAGAAAAGTCTACATCCATCTTATCTATGTCATTATGGCTTTACATACTCTCAAAAAATCAAGGTTTGATTATGTGAATATCAAAGAAAAAGTCTGCTTGCATCTTTATCTATAGAGTTTTGTTACAAATACGGATATAGTATATAGAATCAGTCCACGACTAATTTTGTACACCATTTCTGTGCACTTAGTTTTTATTTATTTATTTATTTTATTTTTATTTATACTATTATGGCTTTACATTCTCTCCCACAAAATCAAGATCTGATTATGTTAAATTTGATTAGCTTGGGAACCACTTAAAATATATAGTCAAAAATTCAAAAAGTTATTACTATTAAAATCAACTATTCCCTCTATTTTATTACACGTCTTTTTATAAAAAATAAAAAAATAATTAAAATAGTTAGTTCTCAGAACAATTCTTAAATCCCACCAAAGTTTACTATTTCTGATTTATAATTAGAAATTGTAATACTATGAAACAATTTATACATATTACAAAAACTAAAGTATGCTAAGAATTATATAATTACAAACTTAAATTACCTCAAGAATCACAATTTATATATTTAGAAAAAAATAAGAAATTAAAAAATTTAAAACTTCATACTCATTTAGATTAGCTCCCAAATGAGAGAGAAAGCGTTCGATTGATCTAATAAGAAACTTACTGAAATGACAAGGTATCATTACTGCGATATAATCAAGATATAACTTTTTAAACTGTAGCAAGTCAAAAATAATTTTGACAAAGCTATACTGTCTTTAAAAAAAACAAAACAGTACTCAATTAGTATATATATTTATATGTGTTTGGGAGGAAAAAGATTGAATACATACTTAACCTTTAGCATAATACATAAAGTGTTGGCCATAACGTCAAGATAATTAGGTTAAATCTTGACCATTGAACTAATGATCACTCCTATACTATCATTGAACATTAAAATTGCAAAAATGCTGGAGGTCCCAAAAATTCTACCAAAAGTTTTACCAAATGTCTCACATGGGTGTGAGACCCACATAACTCCCACATGGGACCCACATTGTGTCGATCCCACACCCATGTGAGACATTTGGTAAAACTTTTAATAATATATTTGGGGTCTCTAACATTACTCTTAAAATTGCTCTAAGCTATTTAAACCTATTTTGGTATCTGCTTGAACACCATTGCTGAAATCCTGTATGTGCTGTCTCAATTTAATTTTGATTGATATAAATTGTAAGATGTATCACATTTATGCTGGTTTTTAAGAGAAAACTAATAATTAAATATGAATGATGTGGAACATTATTACCAAAGGAAAAATTGCAAATAAGTGATATTTTTATAAAATATTTACCAATTAATGAAAAAAACTTATAAATTTAATTATTAAAATTGATAAAATTTTCCACTTATTTATAAATATTTTTGAAATTTTGCATTGAAGTGCAATTTCCCCATTGCCGTACGTCCAATAACTTTTCAAAATTTTGTTATTACATATCATGCCAATCTATGATAAATTTTGGGAAAATGCTCCGATGTGCACTCTTAAGGAAAGCATACAAAATATATAATTTTATCATAAAATTTTATTATATCAATTACAAAATGTGTAATATCGTCATAAATTGATGTAACAAAAGATATCGTAATCAAGTTACAATTTTTTGCGACATCAATCACAAAATTTTTGACATTTTATTATGCCAATTTATAATAAAGTTACGCATTTAATAATTAATGTTATGAAACTTTATAGTAAAATACATTTTTGTGGTGGGATATATGGCATACAATAAGATTTCCCTAAAAGCTTTATAAAAATTTAGGATAAATTACAAATACTTCTCTTAAAATTTGCTTAAAATATAATTTGTTCTTGTTATTTTGGAAATTATATATTATCACTTAAAATTTATAATTTCATAACAAATACCCATTTCATTAATAAATTATCAAGTCAATGAACAGTTTTTAATGAAGTCAAAATTTTATTTCAATTAATAATTCAAGTAATTTAATCATTGTATAGGAGAGCAATTAAAAATTTTATTTTTTCAATTAATTTTGCTAAATAAAAAATTCAGACAAAAGAATATTTTTACTTTTCTAAACCACAAAGAACAATTTATATTTTAAGCAAACTTTAAATATTGTAGTTGTAATTTACCCTAAAATTTGTTAGAAAATGCTATTGACTCCAAACTTTCTACTAAATAAATGACTAAATGTCTGACATTGGTGTGGGGTCTACAAAATTGCAGATGTCATACTCATGTGAGACATTTGGTCATTTATTTAGTAGAAGATTTAATATCGCTAGCATTACTCTAGTCCGTTATTTGATTGAGCTTCGACTTCAAGTTTGGCTGGCCCAATCAATTAACAACAAATAAATAGATGAGTTAAGCCCAATATGTTCATATCTCAGTCAATCCATTTTTCAAGTTGGCTGGAGAAGTTTGTGTTCTGGTTGGAATTTGGATCTATTTCATTTATGGCTCTAGCTTCGAATTTGATATAAAAGACGAGTAAAAATTCAATTTATTACACCATCACTTATACTCGGTGTTATTAATTGTTATTAATTAATAATAAACTGAACAAAGATCGTAAATCTTATATACATAGTCAGATATACATATTTATATTATAATTTATTATTGAAAAATGAATGATATTATATACCGAAAATCACATAACATTATTATTGTTTTAAATGTTTTTCTTTTTATGAAAAGACATTGTAAAATGGAACGGTGACAAGTGATATCGATCCAATCTTGTGGTGCTAATATGAATAATTTGAAATAAACTCTTCACAGGAACAAAGAAAAAAGAAAAAAAGAAAATATGTTGCCTATGTACTATTTCTACCAAATGCGAAACTTTGTACACTTGATTTTCCTATTATTATACCTTGCTTGTTTTGAGTTTTCAGAAAATACTTTTCAGAAAATTCTACATTCTTATTTTTCGTGTTTTTTTGTTTTTACTGAATTTTTTTAATATTTTAAATAATTTTTTTACTTTTTAGACACATCTAACATAAATATATCTAAAAAGTAAAAAAATTGTAAAAAAAATCTTTTAAAAATTCACTAAATACCAAAAATACAAAAAAATACAAGAATTCAATATATTTTTTATATTTTTATGTATTTATTATTTTTTTAAAATATTTTTTTACAAATTTTTTACTTTTTAGATACATCTAACTAAGATGCATCTAAAAAAGTAAAAAAAAATGTTTAAAATTTAAAAAATATTCACTAAAAACAAAAAAATACAAAAACCAAAAAATTCAATCCAGAAAACTCAAACCAAACGCACATAAACATAAAAGCATCATTTTCTCGTGTATTTTTTAATGTGGCCTTAATTATTTAAAAAGTGAGTTCAATTTAAGATGCATAGTATTTAATAATTGAAAAAAAATATTCAAGATAATTTTGTATAAAAAGGAATCGTCAGTTATAATGTTGAAAAAATTTCAAAAAAATATTCATAATGTTAGAGATTGCATCATTTCAGTCAATTGCCACACAAGCAATTTTCTTTTTATTCATACGTAAATAAGCAATTTTGCAGGACTCGTGTTATTTCTTCAAGTTATGAAACAGAATCTCCTCTTCTTTTTCATAGTGTTGTGTTTGGTTAGGAGATTTGAGCAAGAATTTGAAAAGGAAAATGGAAAAGGTAGGTGAAATATGAATAAAACATGTCTATATTTCACCTAATTTCACACACCTTTTCTCTTTCTATTTTCAAATTCCTCCCGAAATCTCTCAACCAAACACAGCATAAAAGTCCTAGAGCTCCCAAATTATCAGTAATTTTATTTTGATAAATTGTACGTAGAGTAGAGTTGTTAAATGTAGCTCGTTTAAGTTTAACTTATTACATAAATGAAAGTACAGCTCAAAAGAAAAAGATGGCCATTGGCCAAATAGCCTGTCTCCTCACTGACCTCAAAACCCAGTCAAAAAGAACACATAGAACTTGAGGTCAAAAGCAGCCACAAAATCTCCACCCAGACTTTCAAGGAAACACCCATTTGTTGATCTTTCTTCCTTCATTTCTCATCTCCTCCTTCTTCTCTCACCATTGACAAACCACTATATATAAGTATTGCCATGGTGTTAAAATACTACAACTCAACCCAACTCAACCATCTAACAAAAACCCACAACACAGATAAACAAAATTATCACTTCCCTCTCTCACAATCTTCACTTTCAGGCAGCAAATCCAGCATTTCAAGGCACAAAATCAAATGGGTTTCAATTCAAACAACAATCAGAACTTGTTGTCTAAGATAGCAACAAACAATGGGCATGGTGAAAACTCTCCCTATTTTGATGGTTGGAAGGCGTACGATAGCAATCCATACCATCCTACCCAGAACCCAAATGGGGTTATTCAGACGGGTCTAGCAGAAAACGAGGTAACAGAGATTGCAACATCAAAGCTTTCATATGAAATTGACAAAGTTATTATAATATTATCTTGGAACATTTGATTAAAGCTGTTTGCTTTGTGGGTTTTTGCAGCTTTGCTTTGATTTGATTAAAGAATGGGTTGTGAATAATCCCAAAGCCTCCATTTGCACTGCTGAAGGAGCAAATGAATTCAAAGACATTGCTATTTATCAGGATTATCATGGCTTGCCAGAGTTCAGAAAGGTACTAAAATCATCAAAACCTTCTCTCTCTAATGATATTACTCAATAATTGAATTGTGTTCTTACCTTGTGAATATGACGGATGGTTAATCATGAACAGGGTGTGGCTAAGTTTATGGGAAAAGTGAGAGGCGATAGAGTAACATTTGACCCAGATCGCATTGTTATGAGTGGTGGAGCTACTGGAGCTCATGAAATGTTGGCCTTCTGTTTAGCTAATCCTGGTGAAGCATTCTTGGTACCTACACCATATTATGCAGGGTAATACATCATTTTAACTATGGTGTGGGCGTGAAAGTAGTGTGCCAATTTCCTGGAGGCCATCATCAAGGCTAATGCCAGTTTTTCCAGTGGCAAATACCTTGTTTCGGCTCCCAGCAATGTCTTGCTGACATAATAGATGGGCAGATGTTGAATTCCTTCTGCGCGGACCAACACTGCGCTAATTACGTGCCGAGAGACTGTAAGGTATAGAAAGAGTTCTTCTCCTGGTATTGGGGTGACCAGCAATGGTGGAGAAGATATGTATTCTTTCAGGCTTTCCAGTGCTTGGTCGCATTCTTCGTCCCATTCGAACTTGGCTTTTAAAGCTTGAAAGAATGGTCGTAGTCTGTCTGACGACCGGCTTATGAATCGATTGAGCGCGGCCGCCATGTCGGTGAGATGTTGTACTTCTTTCACTGAGTTTGGTCTCTCCAAATCTTGAATTGCTTTGATCTGGGAGGGGTCCGCTTCTATACCCCGGTTGGTCACAAGGAAGCCCAGGAATTTGCCAGATCCTACTCTGAATGCACACTTTGATGCGTTGAGGCGCAACTTGTGCTTTTTCAGAATTTCAAACATCTCTCCTAGGTCCTTGAGATGGTCATTCTCATCCTTGCTTTTGACCACCATGTCGTCGATGAAAGCCTCCATCGTTCTTCCTAACAATGGTTCAAACATCTTGGTGACCATTCGCTGGAATGTTGCCCCTGTGTTCTTTAGGCCAAAGGGCATGACCTTGTAGCAGTATAATCCTCTTGGCGTTGTAAAGGATGTGACCTCCTGGTCTGGTTCATGCATGGCGATTTGGTGGTAGCCTCTGTATGCATCCAGAAAGCTAAGTCGGTTGTGCTCCGCCGTTAGGTCTACCAATTGATCTATCCGTGGTAGAGGAAAGTTGTCTTTTGGGCATGCCTTGTTGACTGTTTTGTAGTCGACGTAGACACGCCATTTGCCATTTTTCTTTGGCACTACGATCGTGTTGGAGATCCATTTTGGGTAGTGCACCTCTCTAATTGCTCCTGCCTCCAGCAGGTTACCTACTTCTTCTGCCACTATTTCGGCATGGTGAAGTGCTGATCTGCGTGTGCGCTGAATGACTGGTCTGGCGGATGGGTGGACATTGAGTTGGTGACAGATGAAGTTTGGATCAATGCCTGGCATGTCGTAGGGTGTCCGGGCGAACACTTCGATGTTAGAGGTTAAGAATTCCAAGACCTCTAATCTCTCAGTGCTGGACAACGACGAACCGAGCAAAAAAAACTTATCCGGGTTCTTTTCATCTATTTTTACCTCCACCAAGTCCTCCACTGCTTTCTGATCTGCCGCTTTGCCGACATCTGCAAATAGCTCATTACTCTCAGGTTCTTCTACCGAATGAACGTATCCTTTGGCAGCGCGGCTGCCATTCACCGTGACGAAGCATTGCTTCGACGTGATCTGATCTCCATAGACTTCTTCAATTACTCCGGTGTCGTTGGGAAACCACATTACTTGGTGGTAGGATGACGCCACCGATCTCATGGCATGTAACCATGTTCTGCCCAAGATGATGTTGTAAGTGGAGGGGACCTTTAATACTCAGAACTCCACTTGTTTCGTCACGCTTCCTGCTCTGACTGGAAGAATTATTTTGCCGACGGGCCATTCTGGCGTGGAGTTGAATCCAATTAGAGGTGATACAGCAGACGCCAAGTCTTTGTCTTGTAGCTTTAGTTGTTTGAACGTTTCGTAGTACATGATTTCACATGAACTACCCTGGTCAATCAGAATCCGCTTGACGTCAAAATCCTTGACTCGGAGAGTGACGACCAGGGCATCATTGTGAGGGCAATATATCCGTTCCAAGTATTTATCCGAAAAAGACATGACGTTTGTTGCTCTGTCTTCCCCTTCTTGGTGGCAGGTTGGGCACTTAGCACCTCTCTTAAGTGTACAGCCTTTTTGATTGATCCTCTGAGCTCGCATACACGCTCAGGTTCAAAGACCCCATGTATCACATTGATAACGCCTTGAGGTGGGGTGTCGACTGGCATCCCGTTGGGGTTATTGTGATCCTGGGGGGCTGGTTGCGTCCCTCCTTCAATGTACTTATCCAAGTGTCCTGCTGCCACCAATTCCTCCAGGTGTTGCCTTAATGGTGTGCAATTCTCAGTGCGGTGTCCCTTTTCTTTATGGAAGGTGCATCGTGATCTTTCGTCATAGTCCTTTTGAGCTTCTCCTAGCTTGGCTGGCCACTTGACGAAAGGCTCATCTCTTATTTCGCTCAGAATCCGATGTATCGGTTTTTTGAACACCGTGGTTATGGCAGTGCAGATTCTCAACCATCTTTTATCCGGGTCTTCTCTGTTATCTCGTCTGCCACGTCTGTTTTTGTTCTGACGATCTACTGTATTGACCTTTGCTGAGGTTTTCTTTTCTGGTACTGCGGTCGCACTAGATTTTGCTTTGGCACGTGCGCCATCCTCTTCTACCCTGATGTGCTGATGCATTCTTTCTATCAGGGCTTCCATGGTGAGGGGTGACGTCATGGTGATCGAGTCCCTTAGTCTGTTCCCGACTGGAAGGCCTCTCTTATATTGTGCAATGGCGAGATTGGTGAGGCAGTCCCCAATCTGATTTAATGTCTCCCAGTAGCGACTATTGTAGGATCTTAGGGTCTCTTTATCACCCATGTCGATGGAGAGTAGCTGGTCGATCTCCACTGGGGTTTTGGTGTTTGTTCAGAACCTTGTTACGAAGGCCTCTGCCAATTGCGCCCAAGAGGCTATGCTGCCCTCTGGAAGTTTCTCGAACCAAGTCAAGCCTAGGTCGCCAAGGCTTGATGGGAAGAGTATGCACATTAAGGCCTCGTTTCGCCTGTATCATCCACGATGACCTGGCGAAAGTGGCGAAAGTGTGAGTAGGGATCCGCTCTCCCTTCTATGTAGTGAATTTGGGCTGAGGAAGCCTGATGGTAGGGGGCGTTTTCAATCGCGGAACAAACGGCAAGTCTGTAGCCTTGCTAATGCTTTGTCCGTTGGTTCGTAGGCAGGGCACGGTATTGGTATTCCACCTTGACGCTTCTATGCGTCGGGAGAGCAACCGTTTAGCCGAAACTCTATGTGGATCCCTTGTCTGGCATCCTCCTTGCATTGTGCCTTTGCTTCGAGCACGGTTCGTAAGTCGGCATGATCTGGGTAATTCCGTCTGTCTAGATCTGGTTTTGGTGCGAATGCGAGGGCCAATAATGCTTTCTTCAGTGTATGATCTTTTCGATCTCGTCCTCTCAGACTCTGGAGTGACGAGTCTGGAAGACCAGGATTGAGTATCGCCTGTCCTGAGGCTTCTGCTCTCTCCTTGCGAGGGTGTGGTATTCCTACTACGATTTTCTGAGTGGCGATGGGGTGTCTTGTTTTTGTGCCCCTCTCCTGTCGCCACTTCTTTTCTCTTCATCTGGCGCTTTAAGGCCTCCATGTCCGCCGCCATCTTTCTTATTAATTCATCTTGCTCCTTCACGCGGTCTTCCAGAGTTTGATCAATCCTCCGTCTTTGCCTGTCAGGACTTTGCGAGCGAGATTGACGGGGCTGTGAGTTCGTCTTCCCCTAGTATCTCTCCTGGGGTTATGCCGTTGGGGCTCCAAATCTGCCATGGGAGGGATAGAAGATAATCCTTCACGCCTTGCTCCCCCCTCTGGAGTTTGCCCGTCGATGGCGGAATGTGGCAATTCTTCAATGTGCGCCATTGTTTGTAAAGAGGAGAAGCTTTTAGTCAAGAGGTTTTGTTCTATCTGTAATTCCCACAGACGGCGCCAATTGTACGGGAAAGAAATAAATCTTCTCGTATAATCCTGTTGACCAAGTCTACTCTCCTCCGTACGTCGTCGCTTTATCACTTGAAAACACAAACGTGAGCTAGCCGGCGGGTGTCTGCCGGAAACCTCTCCGATGCCTAAGTCAGTACACTTGACAAATAGACAAATGCTCTGTGTATTTAGAAAGCAAAGTTGTGTGTTACCTCCCCAAAGGTGATGTTTGTGAGTTTTTATAGGTTTCGCGTGGCACAATCCTAGTAGGACTTCTATTCCTCCACACAGAGTCCTCCTAGGATTGAACCTCCTGAAGGATAATCCTTATCCTCCAACACCCCCCTCACTGCTTAAACCAAGTGAGATGGTTATTACCACGGCCGAACTCCATCATGACCGAAGCAATCTTAGCTATGCTGAGCCGCAGAGTAGGCCGGACTATACTTAGTTCGGTTCTTCCCTTTACTTCTTACTTCGGCTTCTCATGTACAACTCATGGTACAGTTAGACCGAACTAACATGTCAAGACCGGTTCAACTCTAGGACCGGTCTAGCTCCAAAGCATCTCTAGGCCAGTAACTTTAATCTTCTTTCGGACCGGATTAACTCCAAAACATTCGCAAGACCGGAGTAACTTATACGGCCATTCAACTCGGCCCTTCGTACTGCGGCCCATAACGGCCCATTTACCTAGCTCGGCCCAATTTTCATATAAATTACCCTCTCAAAAAGTAAAGAGAAGATGTTGATTGATGTGACCTAAAAAAGATAAAAAGTATGGACTTATTTAGAGCTGGTTTCACAGGTCATCTATCTATCTCAAAGATAAAAAGTAAAGAGGAGATGTTGATTGATGTGACCCAAATTTTTGGACTATTTTTCAGTATTCTTTTCGTGCAAGTCATCTATCTAACTCAATTCCAATAATCAAACACACTTTCACATTGCCCAATGTTTCAAATTGCTCAAAATAAAAAAATAAAAAAGCTTTCTCCCTCTATCTAATTATCACAATGCTCAAGAATGAATCTCATGGTCTTGGATGTTTCTGAGAGTGATTGCAACTCTCTACAAAACAAATGCTCTGTCTCTTCTCTCTTTCTCTCTATCTTTTTGTGTGTTCACCAATGGAAGGTTTATATGCTTCATCTTCTTTTTACGAAATATTTTGTGGGTCTTCCATCTTCCATCTTCATCGTCTTCATGTGAAGGTTGGATCTCTCTCTCTCTCTCTCTATCTCAAAACCCTCTTATCTTCTTCCATCTTTCATCTTCTATCATCATCTTCTTCATGTGTTCACCAATGGTCTTTCACCTTCAAGCAAAGATTTTGATGAAGATCGAATAACTGATGTGCACCGACCGAATCGCATCGCCCCAACGTAAAACCACTTGGTGTGGTTCTTACTAGTAATTTGGTCTATTCAGTGCAGATCCATGGAAAACTGAAAGGGTGCGGTTCGGCGCAAAAATATCTTAAAACCAGACCGCACCGCATCGATTTCGCCCCTAGAAAATTGCTTGTGTGGCAATTGATTGAAATGTGTTCAAAAACATAAATGACCGACCAAACCCATTCGGCCCAATCTGAAAATTAGCAAAATAGACAGTTTTGCAACACTAGCAAGTTAGTTGCAGATGTAAGTTTATGAAATTTCTGGCTGACCAGTTGGTTACCAGGTTTGTGAAAATTCACTTGCTTGACCTGAACCGACACTCTCTCTCATAAAATCAATTTTTTTTTTTCCATACAATATTATATCTTTTTTTATATTTTATTTTTTTCCATGTATAATATTATATCTTATTTTTATCATCACGTCTCTATACTCTCTCTCATAAAATCAAGAATTAATTACGTCAATTTAAAAAATTTGCTTGAATTTTATTTGTATTATTTATGTCTCTATACTCTCTGTCATAAATCATGTGAGACCCCTAACTTTTATAAAATTCTATTAAAGACCCTAACTTTCAAGCTTTTATAATAAAGTCTTAAGTTCCTCTTTTACTTGCAAACTAAACCCCAGTTTTCAGTTTCGCCGTATTCTCCTAATTATTTGCCTTTCATTTCAAAGCATTATTATATTTTCTATCTCTATTTTAATTAATTTTATATTTAAAATAAGTATTTAAATTAATAAATTTAATCCATACCCTCATACTTCATTATTTTTGCATTTTAACCCTAATTTTAATACTTTCATATACATATTTGTGCATCCTGTTATTATATCATTTGTTCACAAGTATCTAAAATATTTAAGGATATATTTGTTATAAAAATAAATAAATAAAGTGAAAATTCACTTGGTCAAAGAGAATGATGGCAAGCCACCCTTGGAGTAATTTGTGGTGTACTTTTGGAGCACAAATCATGAATTCAAAGAAAAAGTAAGTCAAGAACCCTAATTCATAGAGATTTGTCTAGTACCAACTCATCAATCTAGTTCCATTCCAATCAAATAAAGGTTATATTATAAGTAAACCATATTTAAACCTCTTAATCAATTTCCATTCCATTTCCTTCCAACCAAATCCAAATCTATTCCATTCAATTCCAACCATGAGTAATAAAGACATTCCACTTTTTGCCTTTAAATAGAACTATCCCTCAAGCTTATTTTTCACACTACAAACACACCACCACAGACCAAGGTTTTGAGAGGAAAGAGGAAGAGTAAGAATGAGCCTAGGAGGAGAAAAGAGAAAAAAGGAGGAGGCCTTCACTACAAGAATTAACACTTTTGGCAACAAAAAAATTGGTCGCTAAAAGTCAATTTTTGGTCGGCAAAAGTTATTCGCAACCAATTTTTTTGGTCGCTACTTTGGTCGCCAATTGAGGGTCGGCAAAAGTAATTCGCGACCAAAATTTGGGTTGGTCGGCAAAAGTTGGATTTGCCGACTAAATTTTTGGTCGCTAAATATTTAATTACCGCTACTAATTCATTTTGTCGCTAAAACACTTTGGTCGCGAAAAGTGATATTTTCCCGACCAAGTATCTTAGTCGCCAATTGACACATTTCGCGACCAAAAAGTTGGTCGCCAATTATCACATTCAACGACCAAAAAGTTTGGTCGCCAATTGTGACATTCCACGACCAAAAAATTTGATCGCCATTTGTTACTTTTTGCGACCAAAACTTTTGGTCGGCAAAAGTGAGTTTCCATGACCAAGAGTTGTTTTGGTCGGCAATAGATGTATTTTTTGCGACCAAAACTCTTGGTCGGCAATTGTCATTTTTTGCGAAAAAAAATTTATTTTGGATGTCGCGACTAATAAATTGGTCGCCAAAGCAGGAAAACAATACACCTGTAATTCCTAATAATTCATGCAATCCATAATAAACCTATAATTTTAAAGCATCATTCAAATTAACTAAATCATTAACATTCGACACAATACAACTATTCTAAGTTTTCATTCACAAGTCACATCCATCTAGCATAACAAATTGAAACATAACTATTTGTTATCCATGCGCAGCTATCAACAAATAAAACTACTAATATTTGTTATCCATACACATCCATCCAAAAATATTTAATCCTCCCAAAAATGCTCATACTGCCAAGTAGTCTTGTACAATTTAGCTTCGTGACCTTGTTAAGAAAAACGCTAGAACTTTCTGCCTCCCAAACTCTCCTTCCAAGATTCATACTCCGGCATGGAATAAAACGCTAGAACTTTCCCATTTTTGTGAGTAGCCTGTGCAACAATAAATACCAGTTATTATAAACTTCACTTTCAGTTCCACTAGACAGTAATGGAAGTAAGATTGGACAGGGAGTACATACCTTCACAATAGGTGTAATGAACTCAACTAAGAAAGAAGGAATTTTTAGCAACGATGGCCAAAATGAATGAATAAAATTAATCAACAGCCCTTTAATATGTGATCCATCATGGTCCTGTGAATGCATAAAAATTGAAACTTTTAACCAAGTCATCAGCAAACAAACTAAAATGCATCCACACTTAGTAATGAATCAACATATAGATAAAACCAAAAGAAAAAACAAAACAAGAAGTTAAATGTTTTAAACCTGATCAGTCATGATCATCAAATGACCATATCTCAAAGTCTTCACACTGTCATACTGTTTTCCATGCTGAAGTCCAAGAATCTGCTTGATGCTCTGAATTTCAGCGTTCTCCATGATCTGTTTATGGCTTGCTTCCCTCACATTAAGCAATTTACCTCTCAACGGGAACACACCATAATAATTAAAATTACTTCAACCTGTAGTACTTATAAGACCACATTTGTGAATTTGAGATTGTTAACATGACATCTGATAGGCATACTGCCAATGAGGAGAGTCCATTGACCCAAGCTCCATAGCACATGGTCTGTGATGGTGTTTGCAATGAGGAAGCCAATATCCCAAGTTACAGGCCTGAATTTGCAGAACCATCCTCTATTTCCTGTCATGCTGATTCAACTCCTATGCCTGTACCTGTAGATCCAGTAAAAAGTTGATGGAATGTTCATCAGTGGAATCGGAATTGGATGAAATATCTTCCAATAATGAACTTAATACAAAATGTAGTAATCTGGAAGAGAATACAGCATATCTGGGAGAAAATTTACCCTGCACATCTAATCTCTCTGATAGTCCTTCCCAAACGCGAGATGATTTCCCCACTGAGCTGTCTTCTGAAAACCATCATGTGAATGATTCACTTGGAGCCTGCTGCTCATGGAAAGAATAGTAATGAAAGTTTGTTAGATGATTCACTTCAAGCAGAATACGCAAAAGATGAATGTCCCGAAATTTCGGTTGACATTCAGATTGTCTCACCACATTCAGTTGCTTCACATGCAGAAGAGCAGCATCTTGATTCAGCCTTCCAAGAACTGGAAACTTGTCATCCTGATATGAAGCCTGATGGCATAGTTTCTAAAGTAGATGATGCTCCTCCAATGCCCGAGGAGAGAGCAATTAGCTCAACTTCGACAGTGGACAATCTAGAGGCTACTAGCTTTACAAAGCATCAGTTCTCAAGAATATTAGAAAATATTTCCCCACATGAACTTGATTCAGCAGAAGTGGGTTTTTCATATTCTAGAGAGAAAAATCTTGATGTGGCTTCCAATGCAGCAGATTGTGAAGAATCGGGTGGATTCTCCACTGACATGGATATCATTGGAAAGGATGATAGCAGCCTTAAATTTTCACCTGATTTTCAAAGCTCTCCAGATCCTCCACCAGTTCCCGATGTGCATTTAGATGATGTAGTAACTGAAACTGTTCATTCGGAAGTTGTGATTGTGGCTACTGTTGTTGTTGGCTCGCATTGTGATGATAATGAAGGCGACAGCAAATCTTTTTCTACCAGTCCCACAAAATTGCAAGAAGAATCTATTACTATTCTCGAGGATTTACATCAGAATGGTATGGAAATCAACGAGGCATGTTCCCCAGAGCATCTTCAAGAATCTTGCAAAGAAAAGGAGGTGGATCAACAGGCAGTTGCTTCATCAAATTTGGACTCTGTTTTGTGCAATACAGTTTCTTGTGATGATTCTAATTCAGAATTCCTTAATAGTGTTATTGACTCTTCTACGGTTGCAACATCTAGAAACAGTCTGCATATTGCTAATGCTACCACAGTCCCATTGTCTTCATATCAACATGACCAAGATTCAGAGTCAAAATCTGCCCAGAAGATTAATGCTATTGAGATTGCAGAAGATACTGTATCTTCACCTACCCATCATAATGTAGAGCTAAAAATGCATATTGCTGATGCTACCACAGTCCCATTGTCTTCAGATCAACATGACCAAGATTCAGAGTCAAAATCTGCCCAGAAGATTAATGATATTGAGATTGCAGAAGACACTGTATCTTCACCTATCCATCATAATGTAGAGCTAAGAACTCCATTGGAACAAAAGGTTGAGTTACAAGATGATCAATTTGATGTGGAATCATGGGGTGAGCAAGATTCAGAATCAAAATCTGCCCTTCAGATTAATGTTATTGAGAAAGCAATCTCAAATATTCTATGGTTTGCTTGATAAAATCAGAGGCATCCATAGCTGTGCAAATAGGCTTTACAAGCTCATTATTGCGCTGCTTTTTACCGAAGCGTTCCCTCCTCAAGTTTAAGCTTGGAGTATTAAAGACGTTGCCAGTCTGCAAAAATTAGACAAGTAGTTAAGTAAATACCATGTGAAGAAACTTGTGTATGCTCTGGTTCAAGGAAGGAGAAAAAATAAAAAAGCATAAGATATCGAAATCTAATCACTTGCAAAGAATACAGAAAATAGGATGAATAAGTACTCAACACATAACTCAAGTATTTAAAGTTGAAACTATATATTCTCAAGCTGCAAAACTTGACTGACAACAGCTACATATGAATAGCATTATTTATAATCTTCAACCAAATAACTATCTCCTAATATTTATTAAAATACATATACAAGCAAGTCCATGATGAATTATAAGAGAATAAGCCCTGATTGGATTACTCACCCATCAGATTAAAAGCTAAACAGCCATCAGTCAAATACCTATGTACTTCAATTAACTTGCTTCTGAGTAAACTCAACCAAAATATAGTCCAATAACAAACACTAGAAACCTGTATGCTATAGACTATTATTGATAAATGACATCACTGTACCTATCAAATAATCAACAAAAATTTAATTCAAGTATGTTCAGATAGTTTAAATGAATAATAAGCAAAAGAGAAACCGACCTTTACTAGGTCATCACTACCTTCACCCCGATGTGAGAAGTAGTTATTTAGTACATCCAGGCGATGCGAAAATTGAACAAAACCCTGCCTTAAGCAACATAGTTCTTGTTGTAGTATATTATTACGAAATATTTCAAACTCAGCAACTTTTTTTGCATGTTTTACTTGCTTCTTTTTAAACTTCAGTTTTTTTTTCTGCAGCTTCATTATAGTAGTTTCAGAATTCATATTTTTATCAGGTAGAACAGCAGGAGCCTCAACCAATGTTCTAGAGGACACAAGTTCCAATATCTCTTTCTGTAGTTCCTCTATTCTTCGCTTATTATCTTCTAATTGCTGAGCTAACTGATTCGCACGATGTCTTTCTTCCATGGCCGCCTTCTTATTTGTTTCTGTAACCTTTCTCTGCTCTTCTGCTTTCCTTGTCTCTGAATCTGCACGCTTTTTTTCTCTGATCACCTTTGTTTTTCTTCCTTGAGCCTTTTGTTTACCTGTTCAGAGTTTAAGTACTCCAAAACCAACTTCGACTCATCAGCTTCTCTCTCTAATATCTCCGTTCGAAGCCCACCTTTCACTTCTAGAGCTTCAGCATTCATGCATTTATCAGGAGCCTCAACGAACTTTCTCAAGGGTACGAGTTCATCTATATCCCTTTGTAATCTCCCAATCCTTTGTCTATGCTCTTCCACCTGCTGAGACAAATAATCAGCACGACACTTTTCATCCATGACCTTCTTCTGATTAATTTCTGCAAACTTCCTTAGCTCTTCTGCTTTGGCCATCTCTGAATCTGCATGTTTTTTCTCTGTAATCACCTTTTTCTTTTCTGCCTCAATCTTTTTGTTTGCCTCTTCAGACTTGAATGTCTCCAAAACCAATTTTGATCTTGCGTTATCGGCTTCTCTCTTTAACTTCTCCAACTGAATAAGATTTTCCTCAACCTTTTTTCGTTCAATATCAGCAAGTTTACTTTCTTCAGCAGCACTACTTTTTCCTGCCGGAAACCCACCTTTCACTTTTGCAGTTTCATCATTCATACATTTATCAGACAGGTCATCAGGAGCCTCAACCAACTTTCTCAAGGATACAAGTTCATCTATCTCCTTTCGTAATCTCTCAATCCCTTGTCTATGCTCTTCAACCTGCTGAGACAGATTATCAGCACGACACTTTTCATCCATGGCCTTCTTTTGATTAATTTCTACAAGCTCCCTTAGCTCTTCCGCTTTGGCCCTCTTCGAATCTGCACGTTTTTTCTCTTTAATCACCTTTTGTTTTTCTGCTTGAATCTTTTTGTTTGCCTTTCAGACTTGAATTCACCACAGGAAACTGCAATGAATAGATTCTAAGTGAATGCTCATGTAAGAGAAAAAGAATTATAGGAACACATTCTTCAGTCCGGGGAAGAGAAGAGAATAATTTTTCAAAGATCCCCACTTTACCATGGATTGGACATTTAGAAGAGTAATAAGATAAATGAAGTGACTCGAGTCACTAGAAGAAACATGTATAGATGGATGCACACATGCATATAAACATGTATATAAACATCACATTATGCTTCTTTTTATCAGGCCTTTTCTTTCTGGTATATATATCTATCAATTCACAAAAATCCTTCTCATAAGAAGATGGGGATGATGTTCTACTATGCTTTACCTGTGCATATCAAAAAATGAATAGGAAAGATTACTGCAGGAATGAATAGATGGATGCACACATGCCCACACATGAGTCACCTTAGTTTAAGAAAATTTATAGATATTTATGTATAGAAATTCTGGAATTGAAATACCCAAGGTCTAGAGTCAAAATGCAGAAAACATCATTAAGTGCTACTTTAAACTTCTTATTAATGCATAAAAATGCAATAAAAGAATAAAAACATACCACTATTCCAGAATCTGCCCATGACAAGAGACTTTCCACTATTCTAGACTTGGACACTGCAGGAGAAATACAGACATGAAAAAAAATACTAGAGTTTTGGTGAAAATAAAACAGGGTTTGGAAAGTTGATTAATAGGACTCACATGAAGATGATTTGTGAATAAATATAGCTTGGTTTCTGGTCTTATTATGAGTTTATTTCCTTAATGTTGTTGTTTTTCATGTTTATAAGAGATTTTAACTTAAAAATTCATAAGTGATTTATGGCCACCACGTTTTCCAAAAAATTCTACCGAGAGTTAATCTACAATTGTGTGAGAGGTCTTGATTGTCTTGAATTTGACTGAGGTGGCTTTACGTACTATAGATTACAAAAACCTAATCCATATACCCACAATAGTATGTTGGGATTGAAGCTTATTGAGTTGATTCCTTGACATTAAATACCAGTTTCTGGCACAGTTCATGTTAATAAGTTGTATTCATTGAGTAGTTTTTGTCTAAGTGATACTTTTACTTCAATTACTGGTATAAATAACAACCCATGTAATTATTAAAATTCAATACCACTGTCAAAATTGATTTACTTGTATGCATCAAATACAGTATCTTTTCTAAGTAACTAGATTATTAAGTAACAACCTTCCTTTCTGAAAGAAAAAAAAAAAGTAACAACCTTAAAGAAACATACCTGTGATGTAGGAGGCGGCGGGTATAGACATTTCTGAGACTCCCAAATTTCAGTGCGAATAGAATGAAGTAAATAGGCATATGTCAATCCATATTCATATTCATTTTCCAATGACAATGCCAATGCTCAGCATCCATATGAACTTAAGTTAGTACCAAAAGGGTAATATAGATGAAACAATTGACATATCAAACTATACCATAAAATAACTGAACATGAGAGATGGCCTCAACTCCAATTGATATTTTAACTTGCAATTCCAGAGTTTGCTCATCAAGAGAGGACTTCAAGGTCTGAACATGAGCCGATTTAATATGCATGCCTATCTTAGTACATATATATAGCATTTAGAGTGTGGCCTCATTGGAGTATGAGCCAAAATATCATTAACTGAATTTATTGCTTATTCTTGGTCTCTAGAATACACTCCCATGCTCAACAGTTGCTGAGCATTATTCATTTAAATGCACATTTTGATTGTGGAGAAGCCATTGAAGCTAGAATTTTTAAAATCACTAAATTAAAAAGATGTTAGCTCCATGAAACATATGCAGTTGGAAGGCTGGATGAAAATCACTAAAATCACTAAAATATCATTTGGAAGGCTAGAAAATTACCTCATGAAATTTGACGACTTGTTCGAGTCTTGGGTGAATTAGAAAAAGAAATCATGGATGAGGGTGAGTGGTCACTGAAAGTAGATACGTGACATGTTGGTTTTACTTTCACATTATCCACATTCTTATGCAGAGAACCCTGAGAAAGTGGACTTTTTTTGCAAGGGTTGGACATCCTTGGAGATCCAACACTCGTTTCAAGAGCCCTTCTTTTCGTAATAGAGTCAAATTCTAAATTGCCCGCAGGTCTCTTAGCACAGATGCGTGAAATTGAACCAACTTTGTCTCGTCTACTTTTCTCAACATCTGAGCCTTTAGCATCCAATTCCACACGAGTTCTAATATTGGTATTTAGATTTCCAGCATTTTGGAGGTTTTTATTTGTGGATGGACCTTGCAGAGTCCTACCTACTTTTTCCAATTTATTTTGCTTCTGTTTCTCAATTTCTTCCTGAAGCAAGCAATCTTCACACATCCAATTGCTTTCAGGAAGTTTTTCCATCCTAACACCCATGCAGTAACTGATTGATTGAAAATAAAACAAAATGTGAATGTTCACGTTTCAAAGAAACGAATAAGAGAAGATACCAAATGAACTACAGTAAAACTAGTAATGTCTAAGTGACAAATCATAAATGACTTACGTGTGCTCTGCCCCATCACTGCACTTGCTACAAGTTGCAAGAAAATCCTCCCGACCAGCATCACCACAGATATCACAAACTTTTACCTGTTTCACCATGGGCACCAACTAAGCAATGTTATTCTAGCGAGTCAATCACAATAAGAAAGAATAGATATTACTCAAAGCGATATAAGTACAAAGCAAGTAAAGGCTAATAGACGTAAGAAAAAAATGAAAGAAATGAAGATAGCATGCCTTCACCAACATGAAAAATGTAATATATACATTGTTTATTGACCTTGCATTAGTGAAATCTTATTACCATAAGACGTATTATTTGCGGTTATAGTATTTCCACCCTCTTTCACTTACCATATATCAACAGCCAAAAGTCACAAAAATATGTATGTTGTGGATATATATATACACGCAAAAAAGCCAACCAACTCATGATGCGGACAGAGTGTCAATGCTATCCACTGATGCAAGGCACTCTAAAAATTCCTTAGGTTTGCAGGCTGAACCACAAGAGCAAATGGTGGATCAAGAAATTACAATAAGGCATATAAAGCTAAGGTTTGCATATAAAGCTAAGGTTTACAACAGTGGCTTTCAAGACTACAGTTCAGATTCTAGTAATTAAAATTGTTGTCAACGATTCTTTTACAAGAAAACAAAGATAAAAGGAATCAAATAGAAAAGACAAAGGAATGAGCAATGTACCCTTTAGAGCACTTGGAAGGCTGGATGAAAACCTGGAGTGCAGAATGGATCGTAAACACTCTTGAATTAGGGCACTTCTCTCTGCAACAACATCAGGAGAGACATTTCCAAAAATCTTTCTGGATACCCGTTCGATAGAGGACTAGGTAGAAGGAAGAATCCAGCCTTGCCCAGTAAACAATGTCTTCAACCGACGATCGAGAGTGCAAAAATCACGGTACCGTATGCATACGTATGCTTTTGGCGAATACCCAGCAACAACCACAGCAGCGAATACCCAGCAATCGCTCCCTCTGTGTGAGAGAAAGACAGAGGGCGATGGCGATTTGCGGCGGTGGCGATGTGCGACGGATGTGAGCAACGGTGGTGAGGGACTTCGATGAGCTAGAGAGAGTGGGCACCGATTGAGAGAAAGAACACAGAGAGGGAGAGGGCGGACCGAGACACAGAGCGAGATAGAGACAATGGAGTTTAGGGCTTATGACCAAATCAAAATTTCTGCTTATGACCATAGGAAATATTTTGTATAAGCGGACAATCCATCATACATGTTACCACTGCATCACTTTGCAGAATGCAGAATGCATGAAAGACAAATCAACATGTTCTTAATTTAGTAACCATTTAACATGAGGCTAGCTTGAGTTAGGCTTTTGCAGATCATAATTTGGCGACTAATTTTTTTTGGTTGCTGAAAATAAGTTTTTGGCGACCAAATTTTTGGTCGCCAAAAAATATGTGACCTTCCGCGACCAAATTTGTAGTTGGTCGGCAAAAGCATACCACTTTCTGCGACCAACTCATTTTTTGGTCGCTAAAGTATAACCTTCTGCGACCAATAATATTTGGTCGCCAAAATTAATGATCATTCGCGACTAATTAATATTTGGTCGCCAAATGTCATTTTTTTGCGACCAACATTTTTTTGGTCGGCAAAAGTGGTCGCAAAATGTGTAAATTGTTGTAGTGCTTGCTCGAAGTCCTAACAACACCTGGCAAAGAAATAAGCCACACAACACCTTATTCTTTTGTTTTCCTCTTCTAAATCCATATATTCATGTGTATAAATTGTGGATTTTGTGTGCTCATATAAATGTGATTGAGTGTTGATGATTGTCTTTGCTTGGTTTCAACTCATGTTATGGTAATTCATCAAATCTACTCTCTTTAGTACCCTTTCTTCAAAACATTTCTTCAAATCTAAAAATCTAAGTTTATGGGATGTTACTTTGCACATTTACGCTATGTTTGGATTGAGTGATTTGGAGAGAAAAAAAAAACAAATGGAGAGATATGCATTTCTCTTATTTGTTTGGATAACCTAAGTGGAGAGAAATGGAAAGAAATTGAGAGAAATGGAGAGAAACCCATTTCTCTTATAAGTCTCACTTTCAATCTTCCCAAAAGTGGAGAGATTAGGAGAGAAAAAAAAGCACTACTTTTATAATATCAATTTTGTCCCTATAAAAATAAAAGAAATAAAATGATTGAAAATATAAAAAGGTTATTTTGGTAATATAACATAAAATAATTTCTTTTCTTTTCTCTTAATGAAATCTAACCAAACAAGAATGAGAGAAATCATAATCTTTTCTTTTCTTTTATTTTTTTTTTATCCAAACAAAAATGAGAGAAATCACAATCATTTCTTTTCTCTTATTATTTAAGTAATAATTTCTTTTCTTTTCTCTCCTAGGTTCCCAAACACAGTGTTAATGTATGAGAAGTATAGAAATGCTCTGAGTTACCATTTTTCCTCTAACCCCTTTTATTTTAAAGATATGAGCACAAACAACCGGTAACTACAGCCGTCTTTCAAAAATTCTAAAAAAATGCGAAAAAATCCTCTGAAGTCTATTTTTAGTCAAAAACTTCCTTTAAGTACGTTAGCTTTCAAATAACAATTTTTTTTAATGAAAATGAATGAGTAGTTTGAGAAAAAGAAAAAAAAAAACACCGATTTTTGTAACAGTCAACGAATTTGGACAGGTCTGCAGTATTTTCTTAATATCTAAAAATCTAGAAAGGTTATCCTACTTTTGTAAATTGATTTTGAAACTAGACAAAGTTCTCCACAATCCTTATAAAGGCCAATCTTCGGAACCATTAAAAGTGCCCCTTTTATAAGTATTTCCAAATCAAATCAAAGCTGGAAATGTATTGAAATTGATATTTTTATGTTGTTAGTTGATCAAAGCTGGAAATGTATTGAAATTGATATTTTTATGTTGTTAGTTGATTTCATGTTGCTCTTATTAAATGAACAAGCCTTGTTATATCATCTATGCATATTTGTGCTTGTATTTCTTGGATTTTATATCATCATATGCTTATGCTTGTATAATGGTTGTTGTTTTCACTAGCTTGATCTAACCAAAGCATAATACACCTAATTTAACAGGAAAATTAATAAGGGTAGCATTTGCGTTTCAGTCATGGTAATGAGTTTTATGAGTTAGAATATGTTGATTTCAAGTATTAAATGGTGAGATGCGTTCCCTATTAACAGATAAAGTCTTGATCTAACCAAAGCTTGATCTATGCATATTTGTGCTTGTATTTCTTGGATTTTATATCATCATATGCTTATGCTTGTATAATGGTTGTTATTTTCAATAGTTTGATCTAACCAAAGCATAATACACCTAATTTAACGGGAAAATTAATAAGGGTAGTATTTGGGTTTCAGTCATGGTAATGTTTTATGAGTTAGAATATGTTGATTTCAAGTATTAAATGGTGAGATGCGTTCCCTATTAAGAGATAAAGTCTTGCGCAAGTGGCATGTTTCGGAACCTTGAATGGATCAATTGTATTCAAATCCTAGGTTGTCATTACACTACAACAAAAAGCACAAATGGCGACTAAAAAAAAATTTTTGTCGCTGAAAGTAGCACTTTCGGTTACTAAAATGGAATTAGTAGCCAAAAGTGAAGACTTTTGGCGAGTAAAACAGTTTAGTAGCCAAATGTATAGTTATTGGCGACTAAAAATCAATTTAGTCGCCGATTATATGGGTTTTAGCGACTAAAAAAATTTTAGTAGCCAAAAGTCAAGGTTTTTGGA